GCTCGTCAAAACATTAGTCTTTCAAAAGAACAAATAAAGTCATCCAAACTCATTGGCTTTAGCTGAATGCCAAGTCTCTAACAGTCTAGTCTGCCAAGGCCTAGCATAAGATCTAGATATCAACAGTGAATCTTTTTTTTCTTAATACATTGGGTTGATGATGGCCAAGTGAGTTCGGAATTTTATGTTAGGCTATTCCGAGGAAACATAATTTATATATAGAGTGAAGTGTTTAACATGGCGACGCAAATCCAGATGCGATCTGCATATTTTCCCACTCATGATGCAGACAAAGCCGATGTCCGGCGAGAGTTCTTTAGGTTTTCTTTCCGTCTTCTGCGCCTGTCTTCTATAAGGGCTTTATTTGGACCTTAAATGTGTGTCATGTGGCCTTCGAGACAGCTCTCTAGCTATCTCTTTCCAAGGCCGTCCCCTGGCGATTATTTACTGTCATTGACATGCGGTCGTCCCCCATGGGGGTAAGAGTCCGATCCGATAGTAAGTGTTATGGTGTGTGTGTGTGTGTTTATATGGTGACGGTGGGAAGATGTTAGCGAATGGTTGTGAATGATTTGGCATAGGTGGCCTCTTTAGTCACCCAAGAAGTTGCAGATCGTCTCTCGAGAGTTAAAATGCCACAGAGGAGGCTTTGTTGTCACTTGGTCTTAGGAAGACGATTCCAGGACGTGAGAATGAACGGTTGCGTTATTGTAGTAGATTTTGTTAGGAAATATTTTTAAAGTCTACTCCATTTATTTTATTTCCCATTAACTTGATTTTGTCTAAATTATAAATAAAGTTATATTTAGTATTGCTCACAAAGAAGTTATTCAAGTTTATTAGTTAAGATATACTTGTAAGGTAGACCTGCCAATGATAGAGCGGAGGCACTTAAGATGGAAGCGTTGAAGAAACTTTCGATGCCTTCTTTTATGTATAGTGTACAAGGTCCCTGAGCTATACATTTTACGCAAGGCGAAAATCATGCCAGGTGTACGCTAGCAGCCCGGAAATCACGCTGATTCTCAGAGAGCATATAGCCTACTATAGAGTTGGTCAGTCGGTCAGTATTCTGGCAATGCTTTGTTCTGCTACTGCCTTTAAAATAATGCCTGGGTTATTGAAGCAGTCGGACGCCTCCCTGAGCCTCGGAAGTCATGTACGTTGAGAGACCCGCATGTGATTTCAATGGTTCTAGTGTAATCAGAAAGTTAAGAAGAGGTTTAAGCAGCTAAAAGATATGAAGTTCTATTGTTCAATAGTTTTCTACAATATATCTCATACTAACTGAATATTGTTGGCGTGTTGACCGTAATTTAGCGTGTTGACCGTAATTTAGCGTGTTGACCGTTATTTAGCGTGTTGACCGTAATTTGGCGTGTTGACCGTTATTTAGCGTGCTGACCGTAATTTACCGTGTTGACGTTATTTGGCGTGTTGACCCTTATTTAGCGTGTTGACCGTAATTTGGCGTGTTGACCGTTATTTACCGTGTTGACGTTATTTGGCGTGTTGACCGTTATTTAGCGTGTTGACTATTAAGTGTAAAAAAATGTTTTGAAAAAAAAAAGACTTGACTTGATACTTGACTTGAGGTTGTTTAATTATAAGACAGGCCTCATTATAATATAAACGCACGTTGACTTATTAAATACTAACCAACTAATACACAGAGTCAATAGTAACACCACAAAACTTGAATCACTCAAGAAACAAAATTGAATAGAAGATAAAGAATGAAGTCATGTCAATAGGGAAGCCGCAGTCACTGTATTCACCTAAGTCCAAAATGCTTATACAGCCTTTGTCATTTTCCCATATCTATTAATAATAATAATAAAGGAATGGAGAAAGACAGTTGAGAAATCTTGCATGGTGCCCCAACGGTCCAACAGACTAAGGGATAGGTAAATGTAAAAAATTAATAAACATTTACGCGCCATTAAAGTAATCTATTACACCAGGCAGCCACGCTTTTAACTACACCTTCACCTTACGCTCTAAATTGAAGAAAACGTTTTTTTTTTTTGGTTGTTGTTATTACAATTCTGTTGTTGTTTGCGACATTTTCAGTAATGCTAGCAGACTAGCCCAGGGGCGAAAATGCAGATGAATGTCTTGTGAAACGTATAACAATCGACAGACACTTTCAAAAGCAGACATTCAAGCTTGCCTTGTACTTGGTGATAGGCGCGAGAACAACATGGGATAGTCACGATGTTTACACAGTATTTCAGAGAGTGAATAAACGCTTTCACTTATAAGATAAAGGCAATGCCCTCGATTCCAAAGGTTAAGGATGATCAGTGTTTCACATGACTACGCAGACCTAGTTGCACCCTACCGGTACATATTTTTCACTTATAAAACAAGCGAACCCATTATACCTAATTGTATTCACGATTCAGTGCTCCGACTAGGAGTATTTTTTGATGCAATATGACATTGTGAAGTAGCTTTCGGAATTTGATTGAGATCTAGATGCTATTTACATTTTTACATTGCAGCCTATACTCTTGTTTTTATTGACTACCTGTCACTACCCACAATGGCTACATAACTAGAATGTCAACTAGTTCGTAATCATTGTCTATGTTACCATCATTCATGCTTAATAAATAGTTAGAAGCTTATTAAAGAATCTCATTTGCAGATTCAGGGGGAGACAATAACAAAGTAGTTTTTTGTCTAAGTGACATGAGGCGCGGTGGCTGAGTGGTAAAGCATTTGGCTTCCATACCGAGAAGGGGGGTCCGGTTTGAATCTTGGTGCCTGGTGAAGAATTGGATCTTTAGGGCGCCTCTGAGTCCATCCAGCTCTAATGGGTACCTGACATTAGTTGGTTAAGAGTAAAGGCGATTGGTCGTAAGCCGTGGGCCACAGAAACAGATACATCTTCTGCTCTATAGATCGCAAGGTCTGAAAGGGGAAGTTACTAATGTAGAGAGACTTTGGTAAACACGTGTTGAAAACTATTCTCAAATTTCCAATTGAATATCTCGAGTTCGAGTGTATGACGTGTGTGAAGTAGTTTCCTTGTGTTGAGTCTTCTGAGTGTGTAGAATAGACTCATTCTCTTCATACGTCTCCTGATTTCCCGTAGGGGTGCTGTCTAGGAGTGTTGCGACAATCCCTTCCCTCTTTCCGGTCAGCAACTGTTCCTAGCAGAATATCAATATGGCAGTCCATTCTTTCACGTCATTCAGCCAGCTTTTATTTGGACCCACCATTCCACTGTACATTAAACGCTGACTTTTAACAGTAATTCATTTCTTACACTATGACTGAACTGTAGTATTGAGTTCCTCCCTTCTGCCAGACATTTTGTTGACTTTTAAAAGCAAAAACTCATTAGTCTTTTTTTCCTGGTATCTGACACCCAGCATTTTTCTGTAGCATTTACTCTCAAAGGTTTGAATAATTCTTTCATACTCAGCTTTCAGTGTACAACTTTTAAGGCATTCAGGATTAATTTTACTTGGAAGCTGATGTTACTCTTCCAGATTCTTCCGTTTGCTTATGACAGACAGATGCCAAACTTAAATGGGTGTTTATCTTTTTTAGTGATCCTTCCTTTCTTATTATGCTTGGCCCTAGATATTTAAATGAGTCAAAATCTAATGTTTGACCATTCAACTGTATGCAACATCTAATATTATATCCACTACAAACTAAATGTGTGGAGACGTCTTGATGTACAGAGTATATTAGATGTGTACAAGTTGTGATGTGCACACCAAATGTGTGGAGAAGACTTGATGAATGGAGTATACTAGATATGTACTAGTTGTGATGTGTACACCAAATGTGAGGAGAAGACTTGATGTACGGAGTATATTAGATGTGTACAAGTTGTGGTGTGCACACCAAATGTGAGGAGAAGACTTGATGAATGGAGTATACTAGATATGTACTAGTTGTGATGTGTACACTTCATGTGTGTAGACTCTTGATGTACGGAGTATATTAGATGTTTACAAGATGTGATGTGCACACCAAATGTGTGGACAAGACTTGATGGATGGAGTATACTAGACAGGTAAAATTTATGAGGTGTACACTAAATGTGTGGACATGACTTGAATTAAGGAGTATACTAGATGTGTACAAATTTTGAGATGTACACTAATTATGAAGAGTTTCCTGTTTGTGGAGTACTGTGTTAGTCTGAGTTTATGTCTACAGGTAACTTTGGCTTTGCAGTGGGTGTAGGAGTTGGAGATTGACTACAGAGGTTTGTGTGTATGTGATGCTTACTAGTCTATTCATATGACATATTTTTGCTTGATTGCCTTTCTTTTATTTTGACACTAGTTTTAACTTTAAAAGGCCCTACTGAATGTAAAGCTAACTTGGCCAGCCAATGTAGTTTCAGTATTAGGACAAAATGACGTATGTGAATACATAATTCTATCACAATAACTATTATTTTTTTATTTCTGAAAAACCCTCAAAGAAGTTTGCTTGAAAGTTACCCCAGAACAGTGTCTTAGACCCACTTAAAACAACTATAATGTCAATTAGCACATCACTTTATGAGTTTTAAATTCATATACATCCAGCATACTGTTGTTTTCTGACCCATTTCCACACAGTCCTGACACTTTCTTAGCTGTTCACTCATCCATGTACAACAAAGGTCAACTGGTCTTTCCATACTCAGTCACACATCATACACTACTATTCACTCAAAACAAACACACTTACTATCACAAAGAGAAAAAAATTAGAGAGGCTTGGGGAGAAATGTCAAGATGATTGGTGGTCAGTCTGTATTTTTGTCTCTTGGTATCTTTGGTTGAGGAGGGTAGTCGGGAGTTACAACAGTCATAGAGCTTTTACAAAGCATATATTAACTTAGAATGTATGTCTGTCTATCTGGTTAAAAAGTTTGAACATGTTATTTTCCCCACGCCCAATCTTGGATCAGACTGAAATTTTACACAAATATTTCTTTTACCTGACAACACAAGAATCAATTAATTAACTATTGGGAATTTATTATTTTGTTTGGTATTGAGCAAGGGAAAGAAATTGTACTTGACTGATGTAGTGGTATAAATGAAATTAGTCCCCTTTATACTTTGTAGAGAGCAATAGGTTGCCACTTTAAAGTTTGAAATTTAAAAATTGGCCCAGTGAGTTATCTTGAGGAGGCTTGAACCCTTGAGTTCAATGTCAGGTTGTTCAACTTTTTATTATTAGTATTATAATTTCATTTCAAAAGCGATTATGGTAACATTCACTTAGTTAACCCCATATTTCACCCCCACTTAACACTTTCCCAACTGGTCCATAAAAGTAATAGAATCATAGCGTATTGAGAAAGCTAAAAACATGAAAATGCAATTGGTAAAATATTTCTAATCACACAAATGTAATATTGTTACTCTAGATCTATTTCAAATTTAACTACATGACTCATCCAAACGAATTGATACAACTATGCTTAATATAAGCTGTTTTTTTTTTAAAAAGTATTTTTGATTAATAAAACTTTGATTGTTTTGTTTTGATTTTGCCTTATGAGAGGGGATTGGAGAAACTCAAGAGTTTTTGTCTTGCTAGTGAAGGTAGATTATTTTGTGATGGAAGACATTTTTTTTTCTTCTGATATTTGAAATGTTCAAGTGATAAGTCTAACAAGTATTTGAAACAATTGTTGACTATAGTGTTGTCATATAGGAGGCACAGTGGCTGAGGGGTAAAGCGCTTGGCTTCTGAACCGAGTCTTGGATTCAAATCCAAGTGAAGATTGGGGATTTTTAATTTTGGGATCTTTGGGCGCCTCTGAGTCCACCCAGCTCTAATGGAAGATACCTGACATTAGATATGTCAAGTAAAGGCGGTTGGTCATTCTGCTGGCCACATGACACTCTTGTTAACTGTGGGCCACAGAAACATGACCTTTTTCATCATCTGTCCTATAGATCGCAAGGTCTGAAAGGGGAACTATTGTAGTCATATACTCAGGATCATATTGGATCTGCCATTATTAACACAGTCCTCATGAACATACTTTTATTGTGCATTAATAAATCATGTGTCTGTAAACCCAAGTTGTCAAGTGTATCTGGTAACTGATAAAGTAAAAAGAAAACATGTAGAATTAAGCAAGTATTTGGCAGGTACAACTTACATTGATGTAAACATTTCTTTATACTCCACATCTCCATTGTGTTCTATCACTAGTGAATCCAATTCATGAATCATTTTACTTTCCACCTAAAAAGAAATGAACAAATAGTTGTACATACAGGAATGTAAATGCTTTAATATACACATGGAGATAATAATGTCCATGACATTGTATATAAACCTAAAATGTAATGTACAGCCAGTGAATTATATACAGCTGATGTCATTTAAAGATAATAATAATATGTACATAAGTTATGTGGATCCACTAGTATATGTTAGCTGGAAGAGTTTTTTATTAACTTTAAATAACTACAAATTTCATTCTAAAAATGTCAATGAGTTGTTCTTTAAGACTTAACTTAGCATTTCCCAGACTTTGAGGTGGGGGGGGGGGGGGGGATCCTCTCATGGGGAGGGGGTAAGAATAGTAATATGTAGTAATAGTAAAAATACAAGGTCCTCACTTTAACAGGCTTCACACTTAGCTTGGTTCATTTTGGTTCATTCATTTCACTCTGTTCATTTAATTAATACTTCTAGTTAGGCTTAACAAATTAAAAAAAAAATGAATTCAACACTGCAATTCAAACATATATCTTCTTTGATTTTGAGCTTAAGAATTTAATTTGAGGATTTGTTTGTGTACTTTTTACTTTCATTACAGAGTGTGTTAGAGTGAGGACAAGAACCTATTAATCATAACTTGAAAAATATAACAAATTGTAGCAAATGTCTGGGTATTAAAAAAAAATAATTCAGCTATCAAGTTAGTAATTGGTGAATCAAGTGTCCTCTGAGTGATAGTACCTATTCTATACAGCAAATAGGAAGAGTGCTTTATTACATGAAAGATACTAAGAGATAAAAGTAAACATAAAACAAAACCAACAAAATAAAATTTAAAAATTTAAACAATACATTACAGAACAATAAACAGAAAATCTTAAAATAAACATTCTTAAAAGTCTAAACAATAAACTAAAATGAAATAGAATTGAAACAAAAAGAGAAGCTTGATGAATCAGCTCTTGTAATAAGCAAAAATTGAGAATTGAGATCATTATTAAAACTAAGGACTGAGATGTACTTTCTATGACAAGAGTAATTCAATCAACTTACCCTTCTTAAATCTCCTTTTAAAGAGAATTCACACTTAATGATGTCAAAGAAAATAGGGATTGTAGCTTTTCGTAACTCAGTTTGTCGAACCATTGTGACTTTTAGAAATGGACCAATCATTTCTATGATCAGATGTTGCTTATTTGGACCTGCACAAGATAAATTGGGTAATTAATGCCATTCAACAAGCAATATTTTATCCCTTAAGTTCAACTCTGAAATAGAAAATTCAACATTCAAAAAGGAAATTTTACAAAAGTACTTAACACCATAAAAGAAATTCAATTGATGGGTTTTGAAAGTTAAATGCAAAGTTTTTGGCGCAAATTACTAAAGGAAGCAGGTTGAGAATTGTGATTTAACCAATTTCACACTAGCCTTATGTGAGCTGAGTATAGACAGAAACAATTAAACTCATACCATTGACTCTTCTTTGTATTGGCAGCTAAGCAAAAGTTATCTGATTTCTGTGCATGTCTGCCATATTGCTTTCAATATCTTTGCTACATTTGGACCATTTTGTTCCCACTGGACACCACAAGCAGCGTATGTGGCACAGTCCAGCATCAAATGCCAATATGAAAGGACTTTGGCTATTAACTCTTTCTCTCCCTAATTATTCTTCCAAAAAATTAAATATTAATTTAATTTGATGAGGTCAAATCAACGATGGTATTGTTGATTATGAGAGAAAGAGCTAAAACCACTTCTCTTTTGTTTGACCAGATGCACACTACAGACAAAACATACCAAAAGTGAAACCTTAATATCTTTTGGCTTTTACTGTTTTACTAGTCTGTTTCTCTTGGCCAATAAAAAAAAATCATGAAGCCCTTTTTGCCCTGCTGTAATATTAGGTGTAGAGTAAAAGTGAAATTGTACAAATATCAGAATAAGAATAAGACATGTCACAGTACTAAAACTTTGTCTGAAAAACATATGAAACAGAATAAAAAGAAAGTCAAGACCACTACTACTGCACAACTGTTAAGTAATCCTTTGAAATCAAGAATGACAATTGAACTAGCTAAATATAAAATATAAATATAAGTCGAATAACTTTAAAGTTGTGTCTATCTTATAGTTATTAGCCTTACACAACATGATAGATTTTTTTTTATTACATTCAAATACTACACAACTTTTATTGAAATACTATAGTAGTAATGATGTCCAATAATAGAACTCCCACTTTTTTATATATGTAATTCTGCAACAGACCCATCCTTCCCATGCTTTGTGTGTGGCCAGCTTCAAGTTTATAGGAAATGAGATTGTGCTTATGTTTGATCATGAAGGAGGAGATTATTGTTTTTCCATTGTAAAGGAAATATTTGATTTTTGAGCCACAATAGTAAGATGGTTCTAGCAAGATGGTAAAACCATTAATAAGGCTTGTCTTCGACGAATAAGGAATCCAGTATTTCCTGTGGTTATGCAGCCCCAGTTGTGACCTACATATTTTGCCACATCCAGCGCAGGCCACCATTAGGCCCTATAGCTTTGGTAAAATCATTAGGCACCAAGCTTATCACAAATAGCTCTACAATTATGAAAACAGAGGCATCTTATTTAAGTAATTTAGGCATAAGCTATCTCTTTTAACTATGCAGTAAGTCAAATAAAATTACCAAGTTGGTTCCAAAGTGAATTGATAAGGACACCAAATGGCACCCTCATGTCTTGGTACCTGTTAGTAATTGAAAAAATATTCATTTTTTATTTATTATTCATTGACTTTGATTTATGTAATTAATTGTATACACTTAACTAATAAAGATTCTCTTACAAAATTAAAACATAGTCAATGAGCAATACTAGCAGGAGAAAAAGAAACATAACTTTGTAAGACTATAACAGTGTTTATAAAATGCAGCTACCCACTTATTTCTTAATAAGTGAGTTAGGTTTCACTAGCATACCTATAAAAGGATGACTTCATGTCAACACTAAGGATACAACAGGCCGGTGCCTAGAAGTTGGCAATTATTTGGGAATTTCTTTAGTGATGGTAGATTTTAAAAATTCCAAGGGTTAGCTTAGAGACAGAACTGACTGACAATTTTCTGAAGATGTAGATAAATAATGAGGCGTTTGGTCATATCACTGTTGACTATTCCCTATTTCATTGAATTAACATATGTTTAATATTTATTGTCTTCAGAGCTCTCATTTGCAGTGATTGGACCACATGATGACCTGCTAACTTTCATAAAAAAGATGCAAGCTAAAAATCTATGGCCATATTACAAGGTCTTCAGCAAAGACCTTCCTTCAGGGAACAGTATCAGGAAAAAGAAGAAGAGGCAGACAGAGAAAGTGAAGGAAAGACAACATAAAAGAATGGAAAGGCCTGCCATTCTAAGGCAAAAGACAGAGAGGAATGGAGAAAGATGGTTGACAAATCTTGCATGGTAACCCAACAGTCCAACAGACTAAGGGATAGGTAAGGTAAGGTAAGTTGTTTTTTTTTAACAAAAGGCTAATTTCTGTTTGCAGTATTCTCATTAGATAACCCTAGCCTTTTGAACATCCGAATTTTTGCCAGAAATTGAAATGAAATTCAAAGTTTTGACTTCCCTCAGAAAACATAAGAAAAAAGCTTTAAGATATCTAGCCATAACACAGTTGGCAATTGTGTTGACTACAAAACATTAGTGTCACCAATAAGTCACAAAAAAACAACTAAGCTTAACTTTACCAGCTTTATCAAACCTTAGGAGATTTAAATATCATAATTAAATTACTGTACCAGGGATTATAGTTGCATATTATCTAGTACACAGTTTCAATTCCACAGTTAAACACTTTTG